TGTGTGTGTGTGTGTGTGTGTGTGTGTGTGTGTGTGTGTGTGTGTGTGTTTAATGAGGCTGGAGGCAGAGAGAGTCCAAGTAGAGTCCCTTCAGGTCATGCTCAAATGGGGTTTCAGCCTCACAACACAGCACTTTGCTGTGATTTGACTGAGAATTTTCAGGGTTCTAGCTCATCTTCTTTCTTATCTTTTGCACCTTGGCACCGATGCTAACAAGTATGGGAAAGGTGATGGTCTCGATTCTCCACTACAGAGAAGAAGCACCACACCTCTTTTTTGTTTCCCCCCAATGAGGACAGTGATTTTAGCCCCCTGCCTTATGAGTGGATAAATAGAACTGTGGTTTTCAGGTGACAGAATGGATCCCCTCCCTCTCCAAAATAATTTTGGGTATCCTGCTGTGTCTGGTGAGGCTGGGATCCCCAAAGACACAGGCACAGCATGCATTTTCCTGCTGCGGCAAGAGCAGGTCTTCTGTGCGACTCCCACTGGCCAGCACTCTGGAGTCTGTTTTGGCCACTGTGGTGCACTCAACTGTGTCACCAGGGACAGAGTACACCAACTCCTCTCCCTGGGTTGTAATGGATAGTGCAAAGCCCTCATTTTATAAGTATCATTTTCCTAAATAACATGCTAGGCTAGAACAAAGGCTACTGCAAAGCCACAGGCTCTTCCACACAATGAGGACACCGCTCTAGAATGTTCCACTTCTAGGTGGTCGGAGGGACAGTATTTGCTCTTGTGCTTCCAATTAGTTAATTTTTCATTAGACATTTTAAAAGTAGCACTCTTAATGTGAGATTCAAATTGAGGGACTTAGTCTGCCGTGATCTCTGCTGTAGCTGGGGCTGTGAAATGCTTTCCCCGTGAGAAATGCAAACAGGAAGTGGTAGTGGACAGCAGGGGTGCTGCCAGAGCCTTCCGCCTCCCCGCATTTTTATTTTGATGGCCTGAGAAAAGGCATCATATTCCTGGTATATTGATTTCTTTTTCCTTTGTGTGTGTGGTTGGAGTGGGCGAGTTGGTGGGTGATGAAAAGAAAGGAAAATAAAGCCATTCATCATTGCAACTAGCTATTTTATGTAGAAAGTGTTTTCTTGGTTTCTGTTTTATGTGACCAAGTACTTACTCTGCATAATAATGCAAAGATGTTCTGCGTGTAACCTCGCTGTCCCATGTAAGGCCACACGTGCCCTTTCTGCAACATGCCGGGTGATGCTGTTGGGGTGTTGAAGGCCCTCGTGGCTTTCCACATGATTGCCTTTGGGCAGCTTCACTCAACAGAAGCGCCTGATGCTGCTCTTGATTTTTTTTTTCTTCTCCAGCTTTGTTGAGGTACAATTGACAAATAATGATGCTTCTCTTTAAAAGCCTTCCTCAGAATGAGGTCTTCCTCTCTTCTTCTTTATTTTATTATTTATTTATTTCAATAGCTTTTGAGGTAAAGGCGATTTTGGGTTACATGGATGAATTATATGGTGGTGAATTCTGAGATTTTAGTGCACCCATCACCTGAGTAGTGTACGTTGCACCTAATGTGTCGTTCTTTTTATCCCCAGACTCCCCCTACCTTCGCCCTTCTGAGTCTTTAACGTCCATTATATCACTTTGTATGCCTTTGCGTGCTCACAGCTTAGCTTCTACTTACAAGTCAGACCATAAGGATTTTAGCTTTCCACTCCTGTGTCACTTCACTTAGAATGATGGCCTCCAGCTCCATCCGAATTGCTGCAAAGATATTATTTCATTCCTTTTCTTAGCCAAGTAGTATTCCATGGTACATAGGTACTGCATTTTCTTTATCCACTCAGAATAAGGATGTCCAGCTTTCAGTCATCCATTTTTCTATACCAGCAACCATGCATGTGTTACTCAGCTTCAAAGTTTGAAAGTTTCCTAAGCTTTCCCCATCTTTTACTTATAGGCAGGAGATAGAAATGTGCTGGCACAAGACAAAGGGAGAAGCAGAAAAGAAAGAACAACCCTTAACTCATCCCAAACAACAAAAGCAAAAGAAGATTTGCCACTGGCCTCTCTTTAGTTTTGGGGTTTGCCAGCCTCATGCTTGCTGAGCTAATGGAAACACCCTCAGCGTGTGTCCCTGAGGGCTAGGAAGGCTCCTAAATGCTAATAAAATTTGTTATTTCATCTGACACCTTAATACTAGCTCCCAAATTTGGAAAGTTGGCAACATAAATATCTTGAAGCACAAGACTTAACAGATCTCCGAAAAATGTATGACCCAATCTCACCTTGTGAATAGGACGTTTTTTCTCTCTTTGCTTCTCCTTGATGGTGCCATCACTCAGAAGGGACTGTGAGCCCCACTGCGAAAACGACACTCTGCCTTTCTCTTTTCCTCATAGCCCTGAGGCCAGGATCAGCCTCTGTTCCGGTAACTTAAAAGGCATCAACGTATTCCAACTGCATGCTCTCTCCAAACTTACCTTCATGCGATTAATACTTTATTGGAAGAAAAGCTGTGATCACACTAGTTCATTTTGATCTCATCTGTTTTAAGATAAATTGTTCTCTTCTAAAAGCTCAGGGCAGTAACCGAGGATAAAGTCGAGATCTGTTGACCCTGAACCCTCTGCTTTTCATGCCCCTTGTTGATTTCGTGCTGGGTTCTCTCCTCTAGGTAACAGCGACCAGTCAGGATCCCAGGAGAAGCTGCTCGTTGACAGCCAGGGCCTGAGTGGATGCTCCCCCCGAGACTCAGGATGCTACGAAAGCAGTGAGAATCTGGAAAACGGTAATGTCAGCATGGGTTGCTGAGAACCTGCTTTGACTTGATTTCAAAGCACAGCTTCTGCAAAAGGACGATCATATTCCTATCATGACCTCAGCAACCATCTTTTTCCTTCTGACCTCTACACCATTCTAGTCCATAGTTAGCCTCCCTTTTATTCTCCTGGCTGCTAGGTGAGGTTAATAAATTCCGTATAAAATACCTGCAGCTGTAAAACCTGAATTGTGTGTCTCCTATGCCCTTTTCTTTATGCAATAAAAACCAACATTTGAGCGTTGGGAACTATTAGGTCCATAGGAAAACAATTTACCAGGTAGACCATCCATCAAGGTCACACCAGCAGCAGTGTCTTAAATGCCTCAGTGCATGGCCTGAATGTTGAGGCAGTTACTGCAGGAGAGAAGGATTGTCTCGTTCGTGGCCTTTCTGTACAGCCAGTCGGGAAGTAGTCAATATGAAATTTCAGAAAACATACTTGTCTCAAACAGAAGAGGAGCCTTAAGTGATATGGGGTCAGGTGGGCTAAACTTTATCATGGATGCCTCTGTGGCTTCCTGTTGTGACCCTAGAATTCAGATTGTAGCAAGACAAGAAACAGTGGAAAGAGGCTCACCCTGCCACAGTGACCTAAATCTCTGTCAAACTCCTGAAGGCCGTCATATAAAATGCCCAGCTTTGATAGTTTTTAGCAGCCATTTGAGCCCTATCTAATAGCCCATTTGTTAAGAGAATTACTGAGCACCTACTAAGCAAACTTGTTAAAACTGCAGGTTGTACTTTATTAGTGGGTTGTGAAAGCAATTTAGTAGGTCATGGACAGCAGTTTTGTAAGACAAAATAGAGAACATCCCCCAGGATAACGGTTAGTATTGCTGGCACTGTCACTTGTAATCCTTGTTTGAGTTATGTCTGAGTGTGTGTTGGCGCTTGCGTGCATGCATGTGTGTCTCTGTGTAGGACACGTTGAATGTAAAATGTGTTTCTTACTGGGGATCATGGGAAAAAATAGTTTGAGAGCCATTGTGGGCACCAAAGCCAGGGCTAAGGAAAGGAAAGAGGGTGTCCAGGGTGCAAATCCTAAGCAGGTGCTCACTCTCGGGTACCAGCCCTGTGCTTTCATGACTCTGGGCATTCACCTCCTTAGAGTTCATCCTCTGGGCACCTTGTTTGCCTCAGTCTAATTCCAAGTCTAATCAGTGTCTTGGGGATCCGTGACGCCCTGCCATTCAAGGTGTTCTATCAACTCGGGAAGATGGTAGTTCTTCCCAAGCTATAATACTCAGGTAGCCTCAGTCAAGACAGTATGCAAAACCCACCTAGTATCCTGGTACATCCTCAGTTTTATTAAATATCACAATCCTTATGTAGCTTATGTAGAGTCTGAAGAATTTTTTTTTTTCCTGTTAATAACCTTTCCATATCCAAAAATTTTCAGGAAACGAATTCCCCCAACTGTTGGTGATTGGTAAGGATCTCACAGATGTTACTGGCAGAATTTTTCATGCCCAAATGAATTCAGGTGTAGCCGCTGAAGAACTAGATTGCTGGGAACCATACTTTGAACTCAAAATAAATTTAGGGATCTTTCTAATATAATGCAGAATGCAGAAATGGAACTTAGACATATAGTTTTATATTGGGAGTTAAGGGAAAAGAAAGTCATATTTCTAAAATTTATGCTAAAGAGGTTTTAATAATTTGCCACTTCAACTTACTTTTAAGTTTTGATGCGATTTTTTTTTTTTTTCCTGAAGAGGCATTTCTTCATTTATTTGTGGTGATTTTTCCAATAATGAAAAGTAGGACCATGGTCAGGATCTTCAGTAGTAACACTAGGCTGATGATCTTTATGTAACAACAATAATATCCTACAAATTTGAGCCATGACGCCCTGCCATTCAAGGTGTTCTATCAACCTGGGAAGACGGTCGTTCTCCCCAAACTGTAATATTCAGGTAGCCTCAGTCAAGACAGTATACAAAACTCACATAGTATCCCGGGACATCCTCAGTTTCAGTAAACATCAGAATCCTTGTGTAGCTCGTGTGGGTTCTGAAGAATTTTTTTTTCAACATGCCTAGCATGTTGGTGTTTATCAGCATGGAAAATACAGGTGGACAGGGTCAAAGCACACAACAAACATGTTATTAACCAAAAATGTAACAAGGAACAGTTAATCTCTGTGTGTGTGTGTGTGTGTGTGTGTGTGTGTGTGTGTGTGTGTGT